CCACACCCTTCGGGGCACCGTGAAACGTCTCACACTCGTGACGTCACCTCGGCCGATCCTCGTGAAAGCCTATCACCGCTATGACGCGCCGTCCCGTCGCCGCTTCGGACTGAAGAACTCTATTAAATTTAATTACACCTTCGCCTTATCCGCCGAAGGGACACATTAACCGATATGACTTCTACTTAAGCTCTATTTGTCTGGGCGAGGTCAACAGAGATTACCATAAGCGTCTGTTAATGCTGCCGCGAGCGAAAACAATCCTTGGAATTTCTCTTCTTTTTCTTAGCGCGTCGTTTTTTGTGTTGCACGTCTCCCAGGTGGAATATCGCTTTTTCTTTTTCTTTCTCTTTCTTTCTTTAGCTGCGGAATCACGTGATTTTTATTAATACGAGAGCGATGTAAGGAGTTTAAGGAAAAGGGAATATTAGTTATAGCCAAGTCCTCGAAAAATGAGTCAATGTTATTTTCGTAAGCGTTTGGTATAAGACTGTGTCAAATAGGCTCTTTTTTTATCTGTTTTATAAATTTCGTATGGGAGGAGTTTTTAAGTAGGGTTCAATTGGACAGATATGATTGAGATAGTTATCCTTTGTACCTTTAATAGAGGCAGAGATGATTAAATTAATCTATAGCAATGACTTCATTTAATATCAATCTCCCTTGCCGGTATCAAGTGATTGGACAAAGAAAGAATGTCACACTCTTTGTCTCTACTCTATCATAACTTGGGAAGGTGACTCAACATTACTGAGGATTGTATAATTGATATAATGATTCATATTTATTTTTCAATTTTCGGGCGACTTAATCTTTGCGATGCTTTGCACTGATTTAGTTGGAATTACATTGTATTCATTATTTGATAACAGGTATCTGCGGCTGACAATGGTCATTGTATTTGGTATGGAGAATGTCACACAGATTTCATGGGACATAAACAGAATTGTCCATACGAAGGTCCTGCCAAACCACTGGATTTCGATGGACAAAAATTATTATCTAAAAATTGTCCACATTTAGTTAAAGATACTGGGAATGGAATAAACACTTGTTGCGATACAAATCAATTACGCACTATGGATACTAATATCAACTATGCAGCCAATATTATCAGCAGATGTCCTAGCTGCTTAGACAATTTAGTAAAGCATTTTTGTGAATTTACTTGTAGTCCACAACAAAGTACATTCATTAATGTTACAGAGATTCAGACAGAAAATGGTAATTACAGTAATTTCAGTAATTTCTTTTTTGTAAATCCATTTGTCTTTCCCACAAACATATGGTTACATTACATATGGAATTATATGTACATATCTTAAACAATGGGTCCATTTTATTTTTAGATGTTTCATACATTAATAGTATAGATCTTTATATAACAAATAAATATCTGCAAGGGACATTTGATTCCTGTAGTAAAGTATCAGTACCCAGTACCGGACAATTAGCATTGGATCTAATGTGTGGAGAATGGGGTGCGAGTAGATGTACACCATTGAAATGGTTTCATTTCATGGGTGATGCAAAGACCAATAGTTACGTACCTTTCCTAATTACATACATAAATACTGATAATCCAGTTGGTCCATTTACACCTGTAGATCCAAAAGTTACTCCTTGCAGTATAGCATTGAATGTGAGTATTTTACAAGGACTTGAATATTTTATAATATTTAATTTTCATTTTTCATTTTTTCATTTAATGTTTATGAGGCTGTTATTTGAAATGCAATTGTGTCAGGCTATATGCTTAATTTTATTGGTTGAACACTTTTTTGAAATGTGTATGTTAATTGGCAATATGAACAGGAAGACTGAAGTAGGAAGTGAACAATTTATGTGATCTTTTTTAATATAATAATTTAGAAAAACAAGCCAGCCTGCAGTTGTGTGGATTGCGAAGAGAGCTGTCCAGTGCCACCACCAATGCCTCCTTTACCAAACCCTTTTACCATTTTTGGCTATGATGGTTATGCAGTGTCTATGATAATTGTTTTCGTGTGCGGTTCTGTCCTCTTCATCCTTTCAATAGTGTGCTTCAGTAATAGGAAACAAATTGGTAAGAAATTTTAATCTACAAATACTTCTTTAATACATACTTAAGAAACCTTACATAATTTTGGTTAAGGAAACTGCTAAATTTCACTATACTGTACACGTGTGCAATGCATCTTTTTTTCCTCCAAACTTTGTTCCATATTTTATTCAATAATGATTTGCATAATTTTTGTTGTTGTTTTTATTTTGCATCGGTGACTAATTTTCTATGTAATTTTCATTTATTTAAATTTAAAGATGAGAAACACAGTTCAGCAAGAGTTAATATGATTTCTGATCTGTGTTAGTGACTTACTACCATGGTTACAGGATGGTTTTTATTGTTGTGTTACTCTATTCTCTTGTTTGGTTGTGGTTGAAGAACGAATTTCATCAATCCTGCACCGTCTTAGTTCAATAAACATCTTATAAATTAACAGATCCATTTACCTGTAATTACTACAATTTATAAGAGACTGTGTTACAATGGTCATAGATTGTAAGGGAAAATATTAACTGTGTACAGTTTCTGTTTTTCAATAACCAAGGATTTAACTATATAAGGAATACACGAAGAAGATTTGATTTAGAATCATCAGTTGTTTGTATGGTGTGCATATATATATAGTCGCACGAGGGGAGGAGGTAGGAAGGCAGGTGGGTAGACGCCTAGCCGCAGGGTTACATCACCCAGGAGATGGTGCTCGTATTGCTCTCGCCGCAGACCAGGAAGACAGCCCACTACAATCTAAGCGTTCCAGTAGGTTCCTACCAAGTGTACCTTCAATATATGGACTTCTGCTTACCCCTAAATTACTTCTCTGTGTGGCTACATTTTCCTCATGCTTTGAGTCGATTATGATCAGCTTTGCATATCCAAATCACTTATTGTCTTTTTCTCTATATAGCATGAAAAGTTTACTTCAGACTCTTGTTCCGAGATTTCAAGAACTATTAGGAATTAATACATCTCAAATTGTGTATAATAAATCACAGTGCATATCTTTTAACAAAAACAGTACGCGTGTAACAGGAATACGTTACAGTATTTCAGCAATAAATTGCACATGTTTTATACAAAGCACATATGCTAGAAGAAAGTTATCATCATTAATTTCTAGCCTAAGAACCTGCAAAAACATCTTCAAGTCTTTAACATTTTCGTTACGATTGTTTAATTAATGTTTCTTTTCGCATCGTTAATGTCTTATTTGTTTATGTAAGCACGCATAGCACAGTGATTACTGTAACACATACCTATCAAGCTTAATTGGAATTAGTTAAATACACATTATGTAGAGTTCGTACAAGTATACTTGTAGTTGTTGTCCATTGGTAGAGAGAAGATGGGCTGCTTCATTTTAAATTTGATATGTTACTTCAGCATTTTTATTACAGACTGTTTATGTAGGACTGTTGTTTAAATTACTGTCTTGTGTACAATGTGACTAAGTAGGTGCTTAATGTATATGTTTAAAGCACACTTTCTACAATATTTGTATCAACTACTGCTACACGTCTGGACATATTCGTATACTTCCTTGGTCGTAACACAGAAATTTTTATAGGTGTGATATCTGCAGATGATTTGCCGAGTGGATTCGACGACGAACAACAGTCGACTTTTATTGAAAGGTTGGGAGCAGGTACTGATAAATTGTTGGCAGAATTCTTCTGCTGGTGGGGTACAGGTATGCGAACAGCATTCGTAGTTATCTATTGTAAACGACACTCCCAAAGGTTTTTCTTACTAAAAGTTTCAAATTTCTTGCAGCGTGTGCATCGCAACCGTGGTTCGTGCTCTGCGTTGGCTTCTTATTTATCGTTGGTTTGGGACACGGTATAAAATACATTCACGTTACCACCGACCCGGTGGAATTGTGGGCTGCACCTCAGTCCCGATCACGAATCGAGAGAGACTACTTTGACGAACATTTTGAGCCCTTCTATCGAAATGAACAAATCATAATAACGTCAAAGGGTCTGCCCAATGTAAGTACATTCATGCAATGAATACTCTTAATTAAAATCTGTTCGGCGTGTATCATAGTTTCATCGTTTTTCCAGATCGTACACGAAACATCAGACGGCCCAATAACGTTCGGCCCTGTGTTTAACGACACCTTCTTGAAAACTGTTTATCAGCTGCAAGAAAAGATCAAACAGATAATCACGCCAAACAATTACACATTAGCAGACATTTGTTTCGCTCCGTTGACCAGTCCGTTTACAGGACCACCAACAGTCTCGCAATGCGTCATTCAAAGTGTATGGGGATACTGGCAAGACAGCATAGCGAACTTCGACGAAACCGTGAACGAAGATAATTATACAGTAAATTACCTGGACCACTTCAGAGTCTGTTCTCAGTAAGTGGACCGTTGATGACCGAAACAAATGCTATATGATTGCATGAAAAAATACACACCGTCTGTTCTTATAGAAACGCGTACAATCCCCAATGTCTCGCACCATACGGTGGCCCCATAGAGCCGGCGATCGCGATAGGAGGCTTCCTAAAGCCAGGCCAGGATCTCCATAATCCCTCGTACGAGAAAGCTACCGCAGTAATTTTAACATTACTGGTAAACAATTATCATGACAAATCCAAACTCGTTCCTGCCATGGAATGGGAAAAGAGGTGAGGGCTTGAAAAGAGTAATCGAGCCGGAGAATGATGAAGCATTTTCATTTGAAAATCATCGTGATTTCAGTTTCGTCGAATTCATGAAAAACTGGACAGCAAACGAGAAGCCGGCGTACATGGACGTCGCCTTCACGTCTGAACGGTCAATCGAGGATGAATTGAACCGCGAGTCTCAGTCCGACGTTTTAACTATTTTAGTGTCGTACATCATCATGTTCGCGTACATCGCGATTTCCCTGGGTCAGATCAAAACGTGCAGCCGACTTCTGGTAAGAGTTCTGACAAGCAGGAATCAAGAATACCTCGCGTTCCCTCCATGCGTATACCTGGTGTTTACGTTTGAAACTTAATTTTAGATCGACTCTAAAATTACCCTCGGCCTCGGCGGCGTGCTGATTGTGCTGGCTTCTGTTGTCTGTTCCGTCGGTTTGTTTGGTATGGTCGGCCTTCCCGCCACGCTCATTATTATTGAAGTGATACCATTCCTCGTCCTTGCTGTCGGCGTGGACAACATTTTCATTCTAGTCCAGACCCATCAGAGAGAAGGTCGCCGACCAAATGAGTCCATACCCGAACATATCGGTCGTACCCTTGGCCAAGTGGGGCCTAGTATGCTACTCACCAGCGTATCAGAAAGTTGTTGTTTCTTCCTTGGTGAGAGTCGAAAAAGAATCACGCCTGTAAACGATCAAGGGAGTGACACTGGGTTATGACAATAATTCGTATTTGCAGGTGGATTGTCCGACATGCCCGCTGTCAAAGCTTTCGCTTTGTATGCCGGTATGGCATTGCTGGTAGACTTTCTACTACAAGTCACGTGTTTCGTTAGTTTACTGGCATTGGATACTATTCGCCAAGCAGTATGTAACTTGATTGATACAACACGTTAAGCCACGGAATTTTTAACCATTTTTCTGTACAGTTTTTAGCAAAAAAAGTAGTAACAATTATTCACTATTATCAACTTAGTCGCGTTATTAAACATTGTTTCCACGGCATTTAACGTGTCAATATTCCCAAATGTAACGCAACGAAGTTCTCCAGTCATATTGACTTTTTGCAATTGTAGAACAACAGATTGGACGTGTGCTGTTTCATGCACGGGTCCAAGAAAGACAATGGCGAGGAAGTGGTGAACGGAATCTTGTACAAAATCTTCAAAGTTGCTTACGTCCCACTGTTACTGAAGAAATGGGTACGCGCTTTCGTTATGTTGGTGTTCTTCGGTTGGCTGTGCTCAAGTATAGCTGTCGTTCCGCACATCGAAATCGGCTTGGATCAGGAACTGTCCATGCCCGAAGACAGCTTCGTGCTGAAGTACTTCAAAGTATGTATTCACATTCCTAATGGGAGACAGTGGAAGAGAAGTTGATTCTAACCGTCTCGTTTCCAATGCAGTTTTTAAATAGTTACTTGTCCATTGGACCACCGATGTACTTCGTCGTGAAAGACGGCCTAAACTATTCCGACACGAGTGAACAGAATCTCGTGTGCGGCGGTCAATACTGTAACAGCGATTCAGTATCTACACAAATATTTATAGCGTCGAAGCAGTCGAACAGGTAACCGTTATCAGCAGTGAATTATTGAATAGGTCAGACCCTATGGAAACGCTTAAAATAATATTACTTTGTGTTCTAAGAACGTACATAGCGAAACCCGCATCGTCATGGCTAGACGACTACATCGACTGGACTCAGTTATCATATTGTTGTAAATACTTCGTCGCGAACAACTCCTTCTGCCCACACTCAGGTACGTGGAATAGAACATCTATAAATTGTCACATGCTTACATTTGCAAATTTTAACCAGTGAAATATCTATGCTAATTTAAAGGGTGCAACATTTAAGGTAGATATTTGTCAGATTAAAATTTCTGAACGTAAGTAACTGCACGGTTTCGTCAACGGTCACGTGTTGATTCTACTTGATAATTTTCAGAGTTCACGAATCGATGTGCCTCGTGTAATATCAGCTCGGTGCACGGACGACCAACAGCGCCGGAGTTCGAGAAGTACGTGTCCTTCTTCTTGCAAGACAATCCCGACGAGTCTTGCGCGAAAGCGGGCCACGCCGCTTACGGTCACGGCGTGAATTATGTAACCGACCCGAAGACAGGCCTCTCAAAGGTTGGAGCGTCCTACTTTATGGCTTACCATACGATCTTGAAATCGTCCGCCGACTATTACGAGTCGATGCGGGCCGCGAGAGCCGTGTCGGCGAACATTACGGACATGATCAACGACCATTTAGCGCGTATGGGCCAAACGTCCACCGTCGAGGTTTTCCCGTACAGCGTGTTCTATGTGTTCTACGAACAGTACTTGACGATGTGGCCGGACACGCTGTACAGTATAGGCATATCACTGGTCGCCATTTTCGTGGTGACCTTCTTCTTGATGGGTCTGGACATATTCTCCTCGGTAGTGGTCATAATAACCATCACGATGATCGTCGTCAATATCGGCGGTTTAATGTACTGGTGGCACATCACGTTGAACGCTGTGTCTCTGGTCAATCTCGTTATGGTAAATGTCATAGAAAGTGGAATGTACTCTGTTCAACAGCTGGTGTTGGAAATAACGAGCGATCTTCTTTCAGGCTGTAGGAATCGCGGTTGAATTTTGTAGTCATTTAGTACACTCGTTCTCGGTGTCGGTGAAGCCCACGAGGGTCGAACGAGTAGCCGATGCGCTGACCAACATGGGGAGCTCGATCTTCAGCGGTATCACGCTCACGAAATTCGGTGGAATCATTGTACTTGGATTTGCCAAAAGTCAGATCTTCAAGGTACTGCCTCGCGACAGATTGTCACGTATTCGTGTGTATATACTATTATTTCTTTTTATCGAATATACTTTCAGGTCTTCTACTTCCGCATGTACCTGGGAATCGTACTGTTCGGTGCCGCGCACGGTTTAATATTCTTGCCAGTGTTACTCAGCTATATCGGTAAGACAACGAAACATTCACGATCACGCTTGTCAGACAAACCTTGCAAACGGTAGACTTTCATGCGAATCACATTTCACTAACTGATGTACCTTGCGGGACCATATATATCAAAAAGACACCAGTGTTGCTCAAACAACATGTGATCATCTACTGATACTTAATTTTCATATCCCTGTATATCGTAGCGGGTATATCGAACGTTTGTAATGTGTTTGTACTTGTTTTTGTGACATAACCTCGTCGCAAAAATCAGTCCTACAGAACACACACTGAACACACTTTTAGTTTGCACTCTTCCTCTCTCTCTCTCTCTCTTTCTCTCTTTATCTCTGTCTCTGTCTCTCATCCTGTTTACATGAGAGAAGGGATCGGATAACATGAGAAACTACTATGGCTGACGGTGGTTCCAGGCACACCAATGAACAGAGAGAAGCTAGCAAATCACAAGAGAGCGATGCAAGGAAATCTGGACAACGTGCAGGAAACTTCCTTGAATCATCGTGTAAGCAAACTCAATTCTCCTCCCACACCCACCACAAGCACACCTACCTTCAGAGTGCTCGAATACGAGAGATAGGTACGCAGGATACCAAAATTTTCTTACACTTTTCTTCCTCTACTACTTTTTTTTTCTCTCCCCCCACTTTTTTTTTCGTTCTGTGTCTCGTGACAACGTACTTTTTCTCATTTGATGTTCCGCCACGCGACATTGCTTTCCATGACAAATCGCTTCGGCTCGGTGTCGACCATTCGACCGTCCGATTGGCGATACAAACGAAAGGACGATGAGTTACACTTTATTGCAAAATACTTTGAGCACATCTGGTGGAATCACTTTCCATTGCGCTTGCTTGTGCCCAGAGGAAGGTATCTGTATTTGCGAACTCTTTTTCTGGCTTCCTCTCGCAGACACTAGCTTTCTACACTACTGTCTTACAAACCGGATACTTGCGCACCTCGAGAAAGAGGACCTATATATATATATATAAATATATGTGTGTATTTGTTGATGAGTGTGGGATGGGATTTTCAATTCCGTAGTCACACGTATTATATGCTGCTACTTAGATTTACAATGTGTTTGTTTACGCTTTATGTGTTGTGAACGTGCTCTTGTGGTTAGTTGGTACACACGTTTGCAAACGTAACGCGCGATCGAGCATCGCATGTTACTTTGTTAGCGGTTCTAGATCTATTTGCGTAACTGTATGAATGTAAACCGAGGGGATATGGAAAAATGAGAATAGCCACTGGTGGATAGAACTCATTTGGCTTATTTTCTGTTCGTGATCTGTCTTCTCTTATTCTTCCTTTGGAGCACTTTAATGGCACTATTAGCGTTCGAGTCCTCGATCGAAGAACGAAGTTGAATGTTTCACGAGATTAAGTGCCTCTTGAATAAAGAAATACACGCTTGCGACATTAGCGAATTCAGGTTCCGATTCAGTAATATCGTTAGCTTGTATCTTATTATGCAAGACTCGTAAGAGGACAACTCGTAAAACAAACGCTTTGTTACGTAGAAGTTAAGCTTAATGTAATTCTGCTTATGTATATCTTCTCGATAATTAGTTTCCTCTTTACTTCTTCAGTGCATATATCTTATTAGCGCACCAGAAATTCATCGATGAAGAAATTAACAATTTCATTGGATCGTTAATGACTTTTACATTTGAATTAGCCTAGTCAGCGTTGGTTGAACGTATTAATTGATCACATTGAAAGGCATGCATGCTGAACGATATTGAAATTTGATTTTCTCGAGCACGTATCATCCGTTCGGTTGCACTAGTAGCTGTAGGACACTTTAGCTGTACATAGTTAAGTGTGGCGTGTCGGTGAGTGGTCGTAGCGGATGCGAGCAGGACCGATGACGAAGGTAAAATGTCGATTGCTGATTTCAGGCGTGATGTCGCGCCGAAGGCGCAGCTGGGCCCGTCACTGTGCCAGCAGGGCTAGAAACGAATTTAGGAGTGAAGAACGCGGGCCTCACTCTCCTTTACTCCAAGATGACAACAATCAGTTCCCAACCACTTCCTACGCCAGTGTGAACTTCACAGACGCAACGGATCATCGTGTGATCTTCTAGCATTAATCGTCGGAACGAATAGGGACCTCGGTTTCCCTAGATACAAAAGTCTCTGTTATATATGTGTATACATATGCGTACATACATACATACATACATACATACATATATATATATTATATATATATGTCAGCTCGACGATAACGTAATTGAAAACGCCGACGACAAAATTTCTTTCCTTTTTATTGAAAAAGTGTGATTCCGAAACAAACAGGTTGTACGAATTCACCGCGGAAACAATAGAAAAAAAATCAGTGAGATCGACGCTGAACTATGAAGTTCGTGTCTGGTATTTTTTTGTAACTAGGAAGATGGAATTTTGTATATTATTAATATTATTACGAGTACCGTAAGATCGCGATATATGTATATTAGGGTATTTATTGTTTGTGGAAGAAAACAGCCTCTTAACGCAGCGTCACTTTATCGCTCTGAAGCTTTACATTTGTATTCGCGTAACTTTTCTAAGTTGGTACGATTGATCGTTACGGGGTATCTAATTAATTTAGTTGTATCCTCCTTTTCTTTATTCAACGAATGTTCACGCTTTCGGTATTTCTTCTCTTTTTTTTCGTCCACTGTGTGAGAAATCGCGCGATCCAGGTCGTCGTCGTCGTCCCGACGGCGACCCGCAAAAATGTGTATTTGCATTTCTGTCGTGCTTCGTCGACGCGCGTGCATTTTAACTTCGTTCTTTTCCGTCGCACGGGGTCATTTCGTCGATCTTGGCGTCTGTCAATTGAATGGAAACGAATCTTCGTACATTAACGTCGGTGACCGCCGAGAGGGCTTCTCCCGTGCAACGGGAATTCCGAGATCTCGCTTGATCGAGCATCAACCGTCCTTAGTCGAGATAACGCTGCGAACAGACGCGAGTCGGAATTTCCGTTGCGCGAGACCAGTCGCCCGAATCCGATACGTGGCCGTCGACCACGGAAACGCACGGATCCGTCGCGCGTTTCATTTTCATCGCGGCGCGATACGATACGAAACAGAGAAAGAAAGAAAAAGGTAATGAAACCTATTGGAGTAGCGAGGATTCGGAAAACATTTTTTTATCGTTGTTCCGCTGCGATCGGTAGACTTACAAGCGTCATCTTTCCAATTCTGTCCGGCGTCCGATTGAACGTTGATCCGCGGATTTCAACTGAGAGTTGTTCGTATGTGTTCAGAAAGCATAGAAGAAACCTAACAAAAAGTAGAGTGTATACGGTTGCGTCGTCTCCTTTTAACACACTCACGCCTGCGTACCGCCGGTGGCTCACTGTAAGATATCACATTAGACGGTTTGTACCATGAAGTCTGTGGTTCGTCGAATGGTTTGGTGATTAGAAAACTAATCTACTTATTCATCATTTCACTATTTCCATCAATTTCGAGAATTCAGTCGCCAGATTGGAAAGTAAATTACAGCGCTGGTGTACCATTGATGGCTCACATTTTCATGTCACATTAGACGTGCACTATGAAATATATGGTTCATTAAATGGTTTGGTGATTAGAAAGTATTACCATATAGTTAAAAATTAATCTACTTATTCATTTCACTATTTCCATCAATTTCGAGAATTAAATCGCCAGATTGAAAAGTAAATTACAGCGCTGGTGTGAACGTGTTAAAACGAGAGAGTTGCTGCTTCGGTGCCTGTGTACGTTTTCACGGTATACTGTCCGCTGGGTGCGTCGATCGAGAAACTAGGTATTCAACGAGGCCGACGGCATCGGCGACGACGATTAGCCAATTTATGCGAGAGCGATTAACATAGAGTCGTTAGCCGTTTCAGTTTTGATTTGCGTGCTTTCGTCGGTGTGAAAATGTGTCTCGTAAACGCGAGGCGTTGTAGCGCTTCTGCTCGGTGTCCGCGACGACGGTGTGTGCGTCGACTCTTTTTAACAGTATTTATCTTTGTGTCCGGTCTAGAGAGTAAACCCGCGGACGCGTCGCGAGTTTCCTCGTCACTCGCGCGTTCATTTCTCCTGGGAAACGGTTCATTTTGTAAAATTCATTATTTGTATACGACGGAACGATTTTTATACTGACCACGGGAATCATCGATTGAACGCGATGTAAAACAGGATGGTAGGAAGTGAAAGTCGTCAGCCGAATATTTGTTATTCCAGGCGATAAATATATATACTCGCGCACGGTCGGCCGGTTATGGTTCCCAAATGGCGCGCGCAAAATATCATTGTAATCGGAGGAGAACCTGTCAATGCGTGTTTGCGTGTGCGGGAGAATGGTGCGAGAGAAAAAAATTATAGAAAAAACGAAGAAAAAAAGAATATAGAAGTAGAACCGTGAATGTTGAACGAAATTTGTTGTGCACGGGACGGTGGTTCGTTTATTCGGCTTGAATTCGGGTTGTGCATGGCGCAGACTGCATATCACAGTAGAAATTTCTCAGTATTAAATTTTCGAGGGAAAAGGGAGCAGAGCACGGCGAGATACTACCAAAGAGGTGTCCGAGCAACGCGAGAAACCGTGTCAAACACGTGAAATACGAATAAACATTTTTTTTTTCC